GGTTTACCTTTGGTTCAGAGCACACCTGGGGCCAGCAATCTCTTCTTCTTTGCTTGTCATTTCCAGCCTTTGCTGTGGAAATAGGGGTTGGCTTGTGGTGAGATTGGTCACCACCAACTCCGTGGAGCCCAGGACCATCTGCCTTGGGTCCTCCCTGCTGGCCTCAGCCGCTCCTCGGAGGAGCCATGCATCTGCTCTGGGTGGCGCCAGCACCCTTAGTTGGCCCATCCGGATTTCCGGTGTCAGCCTGCACCCCAACCTGACCTCCTGCCATCTGGACAGCAACAGGGCCTGACATGAACTCTCCCCCCTCAGTCCTGGCTTGGGACACAGCTGCCCCTCACTGCCCAGTGGCAACGTCTGGGCAGCAGTCTTGTCTGTGTGAGGTCCTGTTGCCCCTGCCTGGGTAGAACAGGTTTCCAAAGTGCAGACAAAACACCCGTGTGTGGCCTTGCACTGAGTTTTTCTTGACTAAGGCCAGGCACAGGCCAGACTCTTCTCAGGATCTATTTCCACTTTTCCTGTCCAGAATAATCTCTGCTATTTCGTCCCAGGAATAACTCATAATTATCTCCAAGGAGCCCTTTGTTTTGTTTTGCTCTTTCTTTTTTACAGGCCACACACGAGGTTGAAAGCGAACGGGTTGGTTCCTAGTTCAAAACGTCAGCTGGACCAGCTTGGACTCCGAGCTCCAGAAAAGCCCTCCATCTGCAGCCTGTCAGCCCCATTCCACCCTTCTGCACCAGCAAACACAGGGTGCTGCCTTCCCTTAGAGCGTCTGCTTCTGCTCACCATTCCCATCTCCTGGGGAGGCTCCTGTCTGACAAAGCACTGGTTGCCCTCCACCTTGGTCCAGGCCATGTTCTTCCTGTGGGATGTGGTTCTCCACACTGCCTTTGCCCATTTGCATGGCAATTCACATGGGAGATGGTGTTAGGGAAGCCCTGCTTCCATCCAGAACCACTGGCAGCCTCAGCGTGAGGTGGACTCCCACACACTGCCCCAGAACCACTGGAGCCTCTTATGGGGTGAGTGGGGTGAGAGCTGTGGGTGTCCAGAGGGGACTACTCCCTCCCCACCATCCAGCTGCCTTTTAACTCTGGAGTACCCTGTGGAATTGCCAGAACATGACTGTTTGACTTTGAGGGCTGCTGGCTGTCAGGCTGTGGCTGTCCTGGAGGGATTCCCTCCCATCCCAAAATGGCCCAGGGAAGCCACCTGCATAGGTACATCCTGGGAAGGACTTCCCATGCTGCCTACTTCATGTGGCCCCAATTCCTGCAGATTCCAGTGCAGCCAGAATGGCAGCACCAAACCCACAGGGCCATCTGTGCTGAGGCTGCTGCATGCATAAGAGGTGGACTGGGTTGGGAAGATTTAGTACCAAAAGTGAAAGAGATTTTGCTGATTGGTTGATTCCATGTGGAGAGGATGTGTTGCAAATGTTGGGTTAGATAAAATACATTGTTATAATTAATTTCATGTATTTATTTTTACTTTTTAGAATGTTAACTACTAGAATATTTAAAATTACACATTGGGCAGATGTGGTGGTATATGCCTGTGATTCCAGCTACTTGGGAAGCTGAGGCAGGACAATCTGGCTTGGGCAAATGGTGAGACCCTGTCTGAAAATATAAAAGGAAAAGGGATGGAAGTGGAGCCTAGCGCTTCCTGAGTTTAGTACTACCAAAAGTCAAAACATTACACATGTTGCCCACATTGTGTGTCCACTGGACAGTGCTGGACTCTGCCTCAGGGTGAGACCTCAAACGCATCTAGCACCTCTTCCAAACCTTTCCATGTGTCTTTCCTTGGCAAGGCCTTAGTTAATAGCTGGAGGTCTTAACAGTAAGCTTTGTTCTCGACGGCACTGGAGCAAGAGCATAAGCTGTACCCCACACCAGGGCACACATGAGTCCAATGGAGCTTCCTTTTTCCCATGATTCTTTTGAAGAGGCAGACAAGGATAGAAGGGAGCTAAATTCCTCCCGCTTAAAACCACACACCACCAACCTCACGTCATAAGCTTTGCACCATTATAACAAACAGCAATGCTAAAAAAGCAAAGTGGCTGGCAGCGAGCCGTTCATCAAGAGCCTGGTTATCCCTTTGGAGGCTAAACAGAAGATATTTCACTGTCATCAGGTCTGGGAGAATATTTATGTTACGCCTGGACTCCAGCCCAGGAACTGAGTATGAACAAAGTCATTAATCTGGTTGTGTTTTCAAGCCCAGGGTGAGCGGAAACCCTGTTTATTTAAATTGAGATTATCCTTGGCTCTGTGTGCTCATTGTCTCCTAGTAGAGAGAATATGCCTCTTATTCTCATTTATAAAATGTATGTGTTAAAGAAAAAATACTCTCAGGGGGCACAAGATTTGCCTTGGTAATGACTAATTTTTTTTGCAAGAGAATTTAAATCAGAACCTACATAACAAATTGAGTGCTGCCCATGAACCTCCAGTATGGATTTAATTTCTGGTTATCCTCACAAGGAGAACGTTCCCTGCTCCAGAGCGTCGTGTGCTTGTGGAGGATTTTCAGTTGCTTGGGTACTGGGGGCCTCTCTGCCCTTTCCTTTGACATTTTGAAGCTGATGTAAACACGTCTACAATAAATGGTCAGCAACTCTGAACTATGCAGGGCTTGCCTCCTGGTGTGGCATCTCACAGTTTTGAACATGGTTTCACTGGAAAGCAAAGAGTAGGAGCCAATAAGGCCTTTCTATTCTCTGTGTTACAAGGGAGCTGGTAAGGATGAGCCAAATCTAATTTCAGGCTAACTCGGTAGCACTGAGGCTGAACCCCTTGGCAAACATTAGCACTGCCATCTATCCGGTTTCCCACTGCTGAAGAATGGAGGCTGACTGTGTGTTAGAAAATTAGACTTGTACACTGTCTTCAGGCAGTGTGGAGCCCACTTTCATTTTGAGGGAGGCAGGTTTTCTGGGAGACCCAGGAGCCACCTCATGCCCCAGCCCTGGGGTTTGTGAGCTCCCAGTCTTCTTCCTGCCCTGGTGTTGGCACCCACAGCTGGCCTGGGGTCCAGGGGCTGCAGCTCACCTAGGGAGTGATGGAAGCAGAGTGCACCACGCAGTGGTGTGGGAGAGGCTGGAGAGATGCCCAGCATGACACACTGCCGGCTTGGGGGATGGAAGGCATGTGGGGCCATGTGGGGTGGGACCCGGTGGGTGTCTTGGGGCTAGGACTTCTGACCTGGGCTGTGGAACCAAGGCTCCAATCCTGGGCCATCTTGGCCACTGCCTCCTGCCTGCCCATGGGACCAGTGAGACCCTCAGGACTGCAGGACAGAAACACTAGGGTACAGTGGGGATGCTGCACCACAGTGGGTGCTTGTGGCCTGGGCAGGAGGGCATTTTAGGCTGTGTGCAGCAGTTTGTTGTACACCAGAGAAAGCAGGTGACCAAGTGCTGAATCATGCGGCTTTTTTCTGTGCTGCATAGTGCCTTCTGTGAAGGCTGTGCCCAAGTGTGTCTGAGTTCCTGCGAGGCCGAGGGGACCCACAGGTGGCCTTTCGCTGCACCAGCCCTCCTCCTGCTGTCACCAATACCAGATGCCCAGGGACAGCACCACCTGGCATTTAGCCGGTGCTTAGCAGTCAAGTCCACAAGCTGCCCAGGATTTGCACTGGGAAAAGGAATATCTGAGGAAAATGCAGTCTGTCCTCAGGCTGGAATTTGTAGGTGAGAACTGTGTAAATGAAGCCCTGAAGTATAGCTCTGTTCCTCTGCAGGAACAAGGTGAGGTGAGAGGGAGAACCTTCAGGCAGAACAGGCACAGAGAGGCCTGAGTGACAGAGACATGGAGCAGCCTGCAGGAACGGCAGGGGCTCAGGTGAGGCCTGGACATGGATCCGATCCATATGCAAGGTGGGCTGGGACCCCACAGGAGGGGAGGGCTCCAGCCTTGGGCTCTGGTGTCTGTTTGTCTCCCACACACCACAGCAGCATGCTCAGGTTTGTGTGCTAACTGGAAAGCATGGTGGTTGGTACAGCACAGAGCTCAGCCTGAGGAATTCATGATGGCTTCCGGGCTACAGGGAAAGCACTCCTGGCTCTACAAGGCCCTTTCTAAGGCTGTTGAAGCTCAACATCATTTGTAAAGCAAATGTCACAGGCAGGGCAGCAGGGACTTTCCCTGTGGCCAGCAGATGTTTGGGCTGCAGTCTGTCTGGCCAGGGAAAACTCTGGGGAACGGGGTGCAGGCCTGGACTTGGGGTTTTCAGGGAAGGTCTGGTGGTGGAGGAGCCTGGGGCTGAAGTAGCACCTTCCTGGGGCAGGTGGGGTACAGTTGATTCTCTCCCCAAGAAGCCAGCCCTTTGTTGCTGGGCCCAAACACCCAGCACAATATAAAGGAGGAAATGGTTTATTTTGCTCACGTTTCAGAGGTTCACGCCATAGTCAGCTGGCCTCAAGTAGAAATGCACTGGAGGGCTAGGGGAGAAGAGCTCGGACAGCAGAGCCAGGCGCGGGCTCCAGCGGGCCTGACGGGCGCACGCGCCTTGGAGGGCACAGCGGAGCAGGGCTCGGGCAGCAGAGCCAGGCGCGGGCTCCAGCGGGCCTGACGGGCGCACGCGCCTTGGAGACACCCAGAGCGTGCTCTGCTGCGGCCTAGCACGCCATGGAGCCCAAGTGTCAAAGCTTCTCACTTGAAACTGGGTGCTGCCGGAGGACAAGACAACTGAGGCCTCACCACTCAGAAAGAACACCTTTTCTCACAGGAACCCTGTTATCAACAGCAGTGTGTCTGACACCTAGTCCCTTTACTACATTTTTCGTCTACTGAATAGTTCATTATCAAACAGACTTTTAGAGATTGACTGTGGTCAGCTCATCAGATATAAATTCAATATTGTCTTGAGCATTAGACAATATCACCCAGCACACTGGCTTAAAAATAGTACTATTTAAAAGTGATTCACAATTGTTTTTAAAATTAGAATAGAACTTTATTTGCGCAAGATTTTTTAAAAATTGTTTTATACTTTAAAGTATGCAATAAATTTGACATATTAACCTTAACATATATTTACCATATAAGATTTTTTAAAAGACTGTCAAATAGCTTGTAATCAAAATGAATTGAGTGTAACTTGGTATTTATATGGAATAACTTCAGCATTACACATATAAAATAAAATGAATGCCATGTAAGTTTTCACTTGTAATACAGTTTTATGTTAAGTTTGATGAGACGGCATGAGCTGGGGTTCTGTGCTGGGGATTTCTAGGGACATGTGACATCCTTGCCTCTCAGAAGGATCCTCATGGCTCCCTCGGAGGATGCCCCAGGGAACTTTCTGCCAAAGGTGAGGCTCTAGATGGAGTGGGGAAGGCTGGGCGGCAGGGGGAGTCTGGTCTCACAGACAGCCTTCAGGCAGAGCTGCAGGATGGTGCAAGCCTTGTCACTAGGTGGAGAAGGCCTGGCGCTTTCTGAAGCTCTGATGCCTGTGGGACTTCACAGAAGTGATGTTCAAATAGCCATGGGAAACCATACTTTCATGAAGTACCTTTCACATTCAGCTGTATGTCTTGAGGAAAGTTCCTGAAAACACTGGCCCACGCTGATGCCACCTTGAATCCGGGAGGCGAGGTCCACTTCAGACACATGCATGCAGTGTCCTACGTGTCCTGTCTCCTCCACAGCCATGCTCCATTCTCTTTTCAGATGAAGATTCTCGGCTGGCGCAGTCAGCGTGGAACCGCTCTAGGCACAAGCCAGTGGCACACTGCAAAGCCTCACGCAGGCCTTTCTGGGCATGCGCTCTCCAGAGCTCACCACAGTCTTGCGTGACGTAAGGTGGACTCCGTGGTGCTTGTTTGACTGGGAAAAAATCAGGAGCCCACAGCAGGTGACAAAACAAGCTCCACACCTGCAACGCAGAGGACACTTGAGACGCAGGCAGACGCCCTCACCTGTGAATGGCTCTACAAAGCGGTGGCGGGGACTTTGAAAGCTGGGTTTGCTGCTGTCCTTGGCACCTCGAGCTGGTGCTTTCCATGCTACTCCCCAGCAAATGTGGGCCCATGCTCAAAAGCACTGTTACAAGACCCACAGAGCATCTGTTGTATCTAAGAAAGGTCACAACACATACTTACAGCTATCACCAAAATACCATATTAAGAAACAGGTTTAATTCTGTGTGAGACCATTTTCTGAATAATATGCCAGTACAGGGATGAAACACAGAAATAAAGTCTTGACGCACTCCATCTTTGTGAATGCCCTGGGACCAAGAATAGTCCTATGCCTACAATCTCAGCACTCTGGGAGGCTAAGGCAGGATGACTGCAAATTCCACCTCAGCTTGGGCAACTCCATAACCCAGCAAGACCCTGTCTCAAAATAAGAAACAGAAAGGGACAAAGGAGCAAGCATGTAGCTCACTGAAAAGTTCCGGGGCTTAATCCCCAGTGTCCCCAGACCCAGCCTTCCGTTTCGACTTCTTGTGCTCACCCTCCTTGGCACTGCTCACCAGCCCATTCATGCGCTTGTACATGCTTGAAGCTAGAGCTGAGCCGCTTCCCACTTCCACCAGGCCCCGCCCAGCACGGTGGGTGCCGTGCCTGGCAGTGTTCAGACCAGACCTGGGCTGCTTCTGCGGTCACTTCTACCTATGGCACTGCACCTACAGGCTCTGGGTTTGTAACAAACCACCACGGTTGACACAGTAAACAGTATTTTTTAGAAAGGATGAGAAATATGGTAACACATTTAATACAAATTTTGCATTTAACTATTCTTTGGCTATTTTAAGCACATTATTTGGTTTTTATATGAAGGTGATACTAAAAATATAAAAATGCAACTAAGAAATGAGCTTTACCTGTAAACATTAAACCCTGTAAACATGAACTCACTACACAGCATGTGGCTTTAAGGAGGGACAAGCAAAGGCAAGCTCTGAACCCCGGCCTGCTCTGCTAGGCGCAGAGGCGCTGCTCCGGTGGACCTGAGCGCCTGAAGGAGAGCCGCACCCCACACGGAGCACAGGAGGAGAGGCTGCACCAACCCGGCGCGTCCTCCGTGTGGCCGTGCCCACATCTCAGGAGCCACCGTGTTCAGGAAAGCATCATATTAATGAAAGCCTAATACTTGTAAGGTGAAGAAGTGAGCAAGTTTTCTGCAAGTCAACTGACTAAAATTATAGGTGATACAGTCTCCAAGGTTTTTCCAAAACTCCAGGGTAAGGTGCATTAGGCAAGTTGTATAAAACAATAAATAGCTGCAAGTAGCACTAAGTACACTGTAGTTTACTCATGATTAAAGTACTTTTTCCAAAAAGCATCAAATTTTTCACGCAACATTTATCACAGATATTTCACAGTTATAATTTCAGTAGTTTAAGGAAGACCTGCCTGCAAATACTCTTAAGAGGTAAACGTTAAGGACAAAACCCACCACTTCAGGCACCTGGACTCAGGTGTTAAGAGAGCAAACTCTAGAGAGGGGGAAGTAACTGTGCAAATGCATATGACTTAAAAGCTACTGAACTAATGACTGTCATACAATTTCTTCTAATGTTTTAACAATTTTCTCCAATATCTGTGAAGAATCAGTGGCTGAGTTTTAGTAGTTCCCTGTAAAGTTTAAGACACAATTTTGTTTATAAAACTGTGGCAGCAAAACACCCTTGATTGTTATTTGTAATCTAATCAACTCCATCGAAACCCTGAGTGTTTTCAATTGCCATCTGAAGTTTATCCCATAATTCCTCAAACGATTCATAGGGTGGCAAGTCCAAGCGATTGAAGCTGAAAGAACAGAGAGGAGCGGTTAGCAGAGGCAGACAGCCAAGGCCCACAGGGGAGTCTGGGTGAGGGGCAGCACTGGGGCCTTCCCATCCCCACTGCGACCTGTAAGTATCTGCCTCCTCTGCCATGCAGCCACCAAGAGGGCTGCACTGGCCCTCCAAGGACAGCCATGCTGTGTGATGGCGGAAATATGACCACTTAGGGGGCCTCCCCACCTCCCAGCTTCCTGGGCTCGAGGGGCGCAGGCGCCTGCTCCAAAGGGCTGTGATCCCTGCACGCTTACCAGGTGTGAGCCCTGGGCAGCTTCTCCGGGGCGCCCCACTGCTCCACCGTGAAAGGCTGTGGTCCGCTGGAGCCTGGAAGGAAGAAGCGTTCCTCGGTTTCCTCTGGCCTGCCCTAGGCTTTGCAAAACCATTTTCTGGTGTGGAACTTGGACACACAGGGTCCTATTCTGGTCTCTTTAAGCTCTAAAGAAATGAAGGCTGTCCTGGGCCTGACAGAATGAGGAGCCCTGTCTGTGACTGCCCGAGTGCCCGCCCCAAGTGTGGGATGACCGAGGGTGCGCCTGCTGGTTCCTGGTCTGGACACAGCAGCAGTTCTAGATGTGATTTTTTACCTAAGTTCAAAGAGAAAACGAGCGTCTTTTTCAAGTCCCACAAAAAATAGCTTTAACTTTTTCTGATTATATGTCACTGTAAGCATTACAGTAAAAATAAAACAGAATGAAGGATTAAAGATCGCATCAAATTCAACCTTGAATTCTGTCTCAGAACTGGCCAGGAACCTTGTCTGAGCACATGCATGTCCCCAGAACTTTCTGCGCATGTGACAATGGTGCGGGGTCTACGTTTTCTTCATAATGGACATTTTTAGAAACTGCTGCTTTTTCCTTCAGCATTTTCACTTAGTTCTTCCTTCTGTAATCCTGAACATCTGCCAACTACCAGATAATTGATGCTGACAATTTATCTCTAATTTTCCACTTTTCTTCATGTCTATGATTGTGTGCATATGTGTAATTACCAGAAGTAGCACCAAAACATTTAATATTCTCAATTTTTTTTTTTTTTTTTTTTTGTACCTGGGATTGAGCTCAGGACTTTGTGCTTGCCAGCAGGAAAGTGCTTATTCTACTGAGCTATCTTCCCGGCCCAATATTTTCAATCTTTTCACATGCCACCCATCACAATTATTACACCCACAGCTGAACTCTCAGTACTTTTGCCACTGGTCTGCCCAACGTGGAATCTTATTATACATATTTCTATCTGCCTTTTGATAAATAATCTATTATGAAAACTCCAAATTGATTGACAAACTTAACACTTTAACTGCAATTGCAGAATAAGGAGACTTGGGCCAAGGGGACCACTGCAGTTTTCTTTAGCCCAGCTTTCCCCAGACATCGGCTGCAGTGGCACTGTGTACTGGAGCACGGCTATTAATGTTCTGTGGGCACTGAACACTGCCTGGGCCACCAGCTTGAAGGTAACTCTGCTTCTGCCACAGTCACTGTGGAAGCAGATGTGAATCCCAGAACAAAAAGCAACCGAGCCACTCCCCAGAATTTCCCTGCAATCTTGGGTCAGAAGGCAGAAACACGTCCAGACGACTCCCATGCTACCTGAGTCATACTCAAGATCTTAATGCTTTTTAAAAGTTAAGTTCAGGACATTAATATAAGTGACAAAAGCCTGAAGACTGACCCACCAGGAGAACGACAGCTGGCTTCACTTTTTTTAAAAGAGCCAAGGAAAGGGGGCCGGGGAGATGGCTCAATGGAATAAGCACTTGCCTGGTAAACACAAGGCCCTGAGTTCAATCCCCGGTTCCACCAAAAAAAAAAAAAAAAAGATCCAAGGAAAACGCTTACCATACAGTTCAGCAAACCCATTCATTGGCACACGGGACGTGCCAGTGACAAACTGAAGTAATCGTGTTCTTTTTTCTGAATCCATCATTAAAACAGCCTGAGTAAGATAAAAAGCTTCACTTAGGGAATAATGCTGGAGAAAAGGTACAAAAAATCATCCTGCAAAATATGCTACCACAATGTAGCTACAGGATTAATGATCACTAAATCTGTGTGTTCTTCACGCTAGCTGTGCCCTGGGTGACTAATAAAGTCTGCACAAAGCTTCTTTCTAAGGCTCCACTACAGCCTCGCAGAGTGCGACTGCAGGCGAGTGCCGGAGCAAGCCTTTCTTTCCAGATGTGACTCATGCTTTTCAGAAATTACAGGGGCCAGGGAGATGGCTCAATGGAATAAGCGCTTCCCTGGCAACTGCAAGGACCCGAGTTCAATCCCCGGTTCTGCAAAAAAAAAAAAAAAAAAAAAGAAAAAAGAAATCACATTTACTGTCCTGGCAGCACACGGCGGGCGGTGTGAGTTCTCCTGCTTTCTAAACACTCCCTTGGCCACAAGAGGCCAGCAAGACAGCCAGAGGTATGTGTGTGCCAGGCTGGCGTGCAGTTCACTGCTTATGAGCAGTTACACAAAGGTGCACACCAACTGCTTTACTGGAACCACGTGACTTATGATGCAAAGCCCCTCTACCTTCCAGAACCACTGCACCACGGGGTGACTTGCGCTGTAGCCATTCTTGTACTTGGTGTGTTCCCGCCAGTCGATCACATCCACATCTCCCAGCCCGCACATGAGAAGCTACACAACGAGAGCCGGGCAGCATGGTCACCAAGAGTGGTGGCAACATGCCTGTTTGCATTTAAATATGGTATTTCTTACCTCTAGTTCATTTTCATCAAAAATTTTGATGAGATCTTGTGGTATTAATTCAAAAAATCCCTGGTAGAAAAGAGATGCATTTAAGAGCCTGGATAGCAGGCTCTGTGGACAAGCAGGCACTGTGGCTTCTGGTGCTGGGGGGGGGGGGGCTCGTTGCTCAAGCCTTCTCATCCACTTGGGGTCTTCACGGGGCTGTGTGAAGAACATGCATTTGCCCACAACCTGGCCTCTCTCATCATCCCTCACATCTACCCTAAACTCTATCCCTCAGCTCTTCCCCTCCACAGCAGAAGTCTACCTGGGTCGGAGCACATGAAAGCAGGCTGGAGCCGAGGGCAGCCCCAAGGCACACGGGGGTCTGGGCCTTGTGTGGGTGGCTCAAGGGGGAAGTCAGTGGAGGAAGAATGTAGTGGGTGCAGGCTTGGGGTCTTGCCTGTGTGTGGTGACTCAGGGCCACAGAGGAACCAGAGAACAGACTGGTCAGCACTGAGCCAGCGACCAAGTACAGCGCAAATATTGAACACATGCTGTTCAGTCAGCTGAAGAAATGAGGAGTCTGCTCAGGCACGGTGTGGCACACCTGTAATACTTTACTTGGGAGGCTGAGGCAGGAGGATCACACATTTGAGGTGAGACTGGGCAACCTAGTTAGACCTGGTCTTGAAACAGAAAAACAAAACAAGAGACTGGTAGTGTGGTGCAGTGGTGAGAGTGCTTTGCCTGGCACAGAGATTTCAATGATAACAGCTAGCTGTGGCATGTGTGGCATAGGTCTGCCATCACTGGCCTGTTACCTATGAGCCTTGGGTTCAATCCTCAGAAAAACATGAAGAAGAGAAGGGAAGAGAAGAGGAAAGGAGAGGAGAGAAGAAAAGAGGAGAGGAGGGAAGAGAAGAGAAGAGAGGAGAGGAGAGAGGAGAGAGGAGAGGAGAGGAGAGGAGAGGAGAGGAGAGGAGACACACACACACAAAAGAGTACCCTGGCAGTAGCTGAGTGCTGTGGCTCAGGAAGCTCAAAGAACTTAAGGACTCATGCTATGAAGAAACAGCCACAAACAGGGCAGCTGTATATTTTGGTAAGTCCAAGTCCTTGGAAAGATTCTTTGGTGACATTGGGGGTGGCACCCAGGCCTTTACAGAGCCATACTCTAGGCCTTCTTTTTTGAGACAGGGTCACTGTAAGTCACTAAGTTGCCTGGGCTGGGCTCAGATGTGCAGTTCTCTGCCTCAACCTCCAGAGTGCTGGGATGACAGCCTGTCCAACCACGCCTGGGCTCCGTCAGGCTCACTGCTTAGACCACCTGTTTTAGTAGAAACATTGACTTGTGGAATATTTTGTTACTATAAAAATACAATGGGGCTGGTGAGATGGCTCAGTGGTCTAAAGCACCTACTTAGAACAAGCTTAGCAAAGCACAGGGACCGCGGTTCAATCCCCCAGCACCACATGCCA